CTAACACTAACACTAACACTAACACTAACACTAACACTAACACTAACTACTACGACTACCACTACCACTACCACTACCACTACCACTACCACTACCCCCCCTTCTACTACTATATACTACTACGACCGTCAACAAGCCTTTATAAAGGCCTGGCCTACGGTCAGTGATTCAGTGGCAGCATGTCCTTTGCAGGGTCTTTTGCCAAATGAACAAAGTTGGATTGGATTGAAAACCAAAAAGGGTCTTAGTCGTCGCCAGTTGTTAGCCAATGAGATTTGGCCCAAAAACAACATGAAAAAGGCGAATGCCAGAAGCGTTCCCTTTGTGACCTATATATTTCTCCACCCAGAGAGTGAAAGTACTTGACGCAAAAAGCATGTGCTGAGGGAGCTCTCGCCCTTTTGACAGAAGGTGTGATTGCGCAAATGCGGTGGAATTTGCTTGCAGATTTGGCGGTGGAATCAAACGATAGAAAGCCTGAAGAGTACGGTATGAGATGTCTGGAATTGATTGCACTCTCCTCACAAAATGCACCTAAAGCTAAATAGCTTCACAAGTATCAACTAGTATCAACATGAGATATTACCATCACACCAACCACATCCAACCCTGTGCCGTTGTTCATGCATAAATACATATGATGCATCATCTTAATATGCGGAATCCCAAGAAGAAACAAGTCGGCAAGCATCCGAAGCAAACGTCCGAATCGATCATCAGAAAGCCTCGCATGGTTCTCCTTGAGGATATTGTCTTCTTCGTCAGTCCAGGGCTGTTGGCCCTTCTGAAGTTCTTTCCTTGGGTGTTCAAGTGCAAGGGGGGGAAGGAGGCCAAGAACTGCATGGGTTTAGACATATTAATATGGAATTGTGTCATTGGGGCCTAAGGAGCGTGCTGTTTCATCTTCATCTCATTTAGCGTGTCTCCAGCTCCAATCCTTCACTGACAGTCATACGTTCTCTTCAGCTCCCTTTATCCTTCTTTTTTCCAAGAGCGTAGCGCTCCCATGCGCTCCCTGCTTATGGAGATGTCCTGTCTAGAACATCACGTCGATATGTGTCATCCTCGTAGTTGTCGAGAATCGCAGCAAACTCAGCCGTGGACCTCATGCATCTCAATTGAGTCTATCAGTCTATCACAAAACCGGAGCAGCTGCACTGTTTGGTTCGTTTGAAGTTAAAGCACGCAAAAAGGGATGGCAAAGCACGGCACTCGACAACGCCTTTCTCTTGCACTTTGCGAAAAAGCCTAGAGGCCAGCAATCTCAAAATCAGAAAGAATGATCAAAAGGGACCAAAACAGCTAGGACGCTGGCAACTCTGCAAAGACGCAGCTGTTGACTTGTGCACATTGGAAGAAGGACTGCAGAATGAATTGAAGGAGCCCTTGGTTGCTAACTGCATCATACTGCATCTCAATGCACGATAACAAGCTACATTACAAGGGCAAAGGCAATGAGAATAAAGTCTGGTCTTCAAAGCGGTACCAATCCTCTGAAAGAGCGGTACCAATGCCGTGAAAGAAGGAATGCCCTGGGTCCGAAGCCAATGAGGTCTTTGTATTTGGTGTTGTTCTTGGTGCTGGTGAGCAAGGGGTCTGTCATGATCCGGTAGATGCCTCAAACAAATGTTGCCTTACTCCTGATTCTGCCAGCAGCGGACTGTTGAGTTGAGCCCGCCACGCATGAAGAACGATAGTTCAAAGAAAAGTACGATGTTGGTGTGGTGAGCCTCCAGGCCAAACAAACACTGGAAAAGAAGCACTGATGGGTCTTGCTTTGCACGAGGCCAAATAAGAGTCTTTCTTTGTGCAAGGCCAAACAGTCCGCCTTCACAATGCTGTATATCAACTCCACCAGCATCGACTGCAATTGTGGACTCAACCGGCGGTACCTTAAAAAAAATAGAAGGATATTCATTGAGAGGAAGCAAAAGGTCCAAAAGTGGTTTCATCAAAGCACGAGGTGAAAGTTTAGCGCCCAACTTCTCCAAGAGATGGAACAGGTTTTCCACGACCCTAGAGTCTGTAAGACCTCCCAAATCATTGCAAACGGTGTTGCAGTGCCTTTATATAGATCCTTACAGGCATTCCACACATTCCATGGCGCCTGAAACCTCGTTCTCCACCGTGGTATTTGCAAGCACTGTGTGAACCCCTCGCTGTCGATCCACCTTGGGTCAAGGCTCGCCAAAGTTTCGCTACATCATTTGGGTGAAGGCGCACAGCATAACAGAGTTCTACAAGCGAACACGCGAACCGTGAAGCAAAGCAAATCATATATTTATGTGTGTGTGTGTGTTTGCATCTATACATGTTTACATGCCGGAAGGTCTCGACTCGCTTACAGGGTAGACATGCTGATGACCGCAGTGCCTCAAAACGACCGCACGACCTGATGCTGCACCTGCTACGTGTTTGTGTTGATCGCCCACTTGTGGTTGCAGCGTGAGTGTGACGTGAAGTTCTAAGAAGGGCAAGGTTAAGAAAGCTCGCTTGGAAAACTGGTCGTGTTCTCTCTCTCTCTCTCTCTCCACATACAATCATATACATATAATATATATGCATGTGCCGGGCTAAGATCACAGCTTGAAAGTCTTCTTGGGAGTACCTGATTCAGAGCAGGTCTTCAAATCATCCGCGATCACCCAGCCTGACGTACCTCTCGCACAGCCTGTTCATGAGAATGATCATCTGATCCCACACCTGTCTCCATGGCACAGGACTGAAGCATTTTGAGGAGCCATGGATGGAGGCTCCATGGCATCGAACAAATCCGAACAACCCATCTCCAAGGGCGTCCTCCACGGAATAGGAGAGGATGCGAGGGTCGTGTGTCGAGCTCTTGAAGTTCTTCATAATCCAGGCGAGGTTCGCCATGATGTCTGCCTGTAGGCGTAGCAAGAAAAATCAAAACACCTGAGTGTTAGTGGATCCAGTGTCTTCATCTGAATGGCATTCCCATCGACTTCCACTCGCTCGCGAAACCACTTGACCATTTGGTGCTGGGCCTTCACAAGGTGCCGCACCAAGATGTCTCCACAATCACGGGTATCCGACCCCGAACACCTCAGCACACACCAAGTCCACGGTCTTTGCATCTGCTCGAAATTGGGACCCTCGGAACCTACTGGTGAGCGATTTTGGCGAGATTCTCGAGTTGAGGCGCCCATCTGACTTAAGATGATTCCAAGCAACTCTGAGGTGACCTTGATGATCTGCACTTGCTGGCTCAGCACTCGCAACACAATCATCAACTGTGAATGGTGCATTCCCACCTCGCAGGAACCGTCCATAGAACCATCGACAGTTCAAGACTGAAGTTTCCGTCCTTTCCAAACTCTCGCAGCCGGGCAGTGGTGAACTGGATCATGTCAACATCCTTAGCCAATAGGGATAATAAGTTTGTTCGGTGTCAATGTTTAATGTCTGTGTCTGTGAGTGTTGATACTGTTCTTGGGGTATCTTCAAAGCAGGAAACAACACAAACCACCGCTTTGGGAAAAGGGCCACGGACCGAGTGACTTCACCGAAAAGAACGACCCGTCTAAAGAAAAGACTGGGGTTTTTTTCAATGGCACCCTGCAGGTTGGCGATGTCCAAGTCTGGTGGCCTCGGTCTGCAGAAGCTGAAAGGAAACCATTCAGCCAATGGCCACATACCTCCAAACGGTCAGAATTGACCATTGATTATCATTGATTATCCATATGATCTTCTTCCCTGTAGAGTGCTTGATACAGGTGTTCACCATGCATGACTGTGCATGGCCGTTCCATATGTTACCATATGTTATTGCTGTTCCTTGCACACTGGAGAACCGATGTCTTGAGTCTGCGGCTCAGCATTTTTCTTTTTGGCTTCTGCAACCTGGTTTTCTAGAAGCACATTTAGTGCTGGGGCCAAACTTTCAGCAGCAGCTTCAACTCTCAACTCTCCTACTGATCTGATGAAGCAACTAAGACTAACTAAGTATGTGTGTTAGCCTTTGTTTGCCACTGCCACGATAAACTTGCGGCGCTTGCTCTCTTTTGAAAAAATCCGCCCGCGCCGAAGGTGCTGAGGCGCTGGGTCGGCTCGCGTAGACTGGAAGATCAGCTGCTAGATAAACAGCTTAAGCTTCAGCTTGGGGGGGAGGCCCTTTGGATTGATAAACATTGATATCGTGTGCGTGATTTTCCGTGTGGCTTCGGAAGTAAACGTTCGCGCTGCCGGTTGCACCATCCAGTGAAAACTGCATTATGGACATCGTGGACGTGTGTTCGTCCAGGCTGTCTGCTCGACAGAGCCCTTCTCGAGGAAACAGGAGATTGATATCCTGTGTGTGGTAGTCGTGGACAGTGTGGAGGGTGTGTCTGGAGCAGCGCGTCGTTTTTTCGTGCAGCGACTTGGTGCGATCTGCGAAACAACGGAGCTGCTCAGAATGATCGCTGGCCTCCTCATACTCCAAGACTAACCAGTACTACCCCAAATTTGGCTAAACTAACCACCCCTCGGTGTTTTTTCGCCGGCGTTTCCTGATTCTGCCCTTCTTCGCATTTGAGCCCGGTTAACTCCGCTTCCTCCAGGCTTCGCGAGCACAAGTTGCTGCTTCCCTCACCAATACTGACCAACCCATATCCTCGTGGGATTCTAGCTGCTATGAGCCCCTCTCCTAGTAGCACCCCTGCTACTGCTACTACATTTACCCATTTCCCAGCTGCGAGAAGCAGTGTGAATATGAAAAAATACTCTCAACCTGGTGTGTTGGGCCAAGCCTGTGCCGCGTGCTGGCAGCGATGAAACTCCAAGAACCATGAAACAAAATTCAGCAAGTGTGGCCTCGGCAAATTGGCTCAAGAAGAAGAGTCATCAAATGTCATTAGGCAGCCAACGAAAACAGAACCAAGGCTATGGCACATTAAACTCTTTTCCTGCGCCAGACCCTTCTTTTGAACCTTAAGTGTCACGAGTCACGAATCTATGTTGAATCCACAAAGATAAGGGGAATGAACTGAAAGTCTGAGGCCCTGACTCACAGTGCTGCGAAGGATGCTTATCAAGGAGCTCAAGAACGTACATTGCTCCAGGAAGGAGCGGTAGCCTTCAAGCGAACGTCTCAAAAGCAAACGATCATATCAAGAAACTCCAAGGATCTAAACATTATAATAGTAGTAACAAGTGCCACGCTAGTAGTAACAAGTGCCTTACTAGTAGAAACAAGAAGCTATTAGTAACAAGTGCCTTACTAGTAGTAACAAAAAGAAGTTAATTAGAATTCTAATTTCTAACAAAGCAATCTCCGCGAAATTGTGATTTCTTTACTTCCATACCGCTTGAGCATCTACGAGCTTCCCCGATATCATTTTGATGATTTTGCGGGTACTTTGCATTCCGTTCTTGACAATGTCGATAATGTTTGGTGTTACAAGTATCAATGCTTGTGGTTGTTGTTGCCTGCGGCTGCTGTCATTGTGACTTGACATTGCTGCTGCTGTGGTGTGGCTTGCATTGATGTGGTTCTCATTGTGGATTGTTTTTGAATGTCTTTGATGGTGCCTCTATATAGAGGAGGAACCAAATGAGTGTTCAAGACATGGAGAAGACAGTGTAAAAAAAACAGCCGGATCACGTGGCGTGGCACATGCCAAGGGTTTCTCTGATGCCAAATGGCAGTGCTGTGTTGTGCTCACCATTGAACTCAAAAAACCAGAATGTTTGTAGTGTTTCACGTCGGCCAGTGTTACCAGAAGCTCTGCGAACCATGCCAACGCTGGCACAGTACATTCAAAATGTCCCACCAATCTGCCATGTCACAATGATTTCTCAATTCCATTGCTCGATACTACAGCACTGTTTCAACCAGAACAGATTTATTGATTTACAATTCGGACCTGCGAGGGTCGCGCTTAAAAAGCATTATAAAAGCATCATAGGACCCATCTGTTGTTGCAGATACAGTGAGCTCATTGTCCGTCCATATTCGTGCAGCATAAAAAAAACTTATAGGTTTTCCGAGTTCACATGCCTGACACCCTATGGTTTAGCCATATGGGCCGGGTTGTCGCATCGCGATATGTCGCCCACCCTGGAAACCCCCTACAATAGTGGAAGGCTCCGTTGAGGGGCGAGACGTGCTTGTAATGACTTTTTATGTGTTTTTTTCAGGCAACAGAGGTCAAGATCTTACAGCTACTACCTAGTACATCCTAGTACATCCTAGTGCCCATTTTTTACCCTGTTCTTCTTCTGTTCTTCTTGGGCGGAACACAAGCCACAGCGCATTGAGGATCAGACCTTGCAGGATCCTTTCACTGTGGCTTGCGCGATCATCCAAGGATCCACGCCTGGATCGGGCCATACGTTGGCGCAAAGCTGGTGAGGTCAGCAGTCGAAGCACCCAAGTACTAAGCCCCAAACACATGTGGATTTAGCTGGTTGTGCTCACGAACAGACCTTCCATGGCAGGAGATTCTGAATCGAGCTGGCCTCTTGTCCCTGCACCACCTGAGCCCTCAACCCTTCAGCCAAGTCGACAAAGAAGGGGTTGTGGAACATGTTCTGCTTCTTGTCTGTTCCCAAAGGATTGCGAAACTCCTTCTTCAAGAGCCTTAGTTGTGCGAAGCTGCGTCCCAATCGAAACACGTCAGCTGTGCTCCTGACGCGCTGCTCTTCTGGATGATGCTCTTCTGCATCACGGAAGCGGACACCTCAGCTTGTCCAAGAAGTCATAGCCCAAACAGCCTAAACATTCGGTTCTGAAATGTTCTGAATCAATGAGGGTGGGGCATTCAGACTTCCATCAGCACTGAAGGTTTGCATTGATGTACCGAAGCGGCTGTGCCTAGAGGACCTCGGCATGGCATTGATGACCAACCACTTCAAATCATTCAAAACCTGATGATGAAGCCCTTTCTGAAGCATCTTGGAATCATTCCTCAATGGGGAGAGGAAAGAGGAGAAAGCGGAATGACTTCACAAGGCAGTTCAGGAAACACGACATACGTCTCACTTGACAGGAACTGAACAGAAGGGCTGAGCTACTGGCTGCGATGTGATGAGCTGGCCAAAGCGATGCAAACAAATCACACTAACCCGTTGACGCTGAGTATTCCTTGGAACCCACCCAAGCCCTCATGCTGTGGCCGCATAGCTACACAAGCCCCAACCTGAAAATACCATAGTGGTTTGGCAGTTACAAAATCTCTTGTCGATTGTCTGGTGCCATAGATCCGTGAATCACATTGATAAGAAAATGTTGCTTGGCTTAGTGATAAGCATTGCTGGCTGAGCATGCTCAGCAGCTGCATGCTAAATGATCAACAGCAATGTGCCCAATGTGCTTGCCTCTTGACCCCCCACCAGACCCCTGAGTATTTCGCTCAGGCTCAGTCACTACAGTTAGCAGGACGAAAGTACGCAAGTGACCCTGCAACATGTCAGACCAGCTTATGATTGAGCGGGGTTGATAAGAGCGTATGCAATTGTTCTACATCTGCATTCTAGCCCCTTCGGTTGCGAATGTTGCAGTTGAGAATGTGCTGGTGATATAACCCGATCTCCTCCTCAACAAAATCAGTTGTTCTTCATTACTGGAGAGGCAGGGAGAGCCGGTCTCTAGATGTATCAAGCATGATACAAAATCCAGCACCACACCACCTAGTGTGGAGGGTCATTTTCACACCACGTTCCCAATCCTGCCTTGCTGTCGGCTTTATCTCGTGCCAAAAGCTCCGCTAACTCGCTCCTTGACCACAGCATCTCATGGTAGTGAAGGTCCGAGAGGAAACAAACAATGTGAGATCTCGTTCAAAAAAAAGCCCTTATTAACAGGGCCCTTGCCCTTGCCTTCGCGTTTCCTCCTTTTTGTCAGCGATGCGTTTCATGATCTTGGAATCGGACTTGTTCCGGCCCCTACGACTTTGCCACATCTCCTTGACACAGGAGATAAAGCTCCAAAAGCACTCGGACATCTCGACAAAAACAATGTCCGCATATGTCCGCTGATCCACGCACGGTTTTCATTCACAGGCGACTTTGGTGATTGGAATCGATTGCCACAAACGTGGCACTCAGTGGAAAATGATCTGATGGATATCTTCCGTTGGGAAGTGTGTCCGTCAGTACCCTACATCTCAGTAGCTGCAGCTCTGCAAATCCTCGTGATGGTCGTCCGTTCAGCCACAGAATCCAGTCAATATAACGGGAGTCAGGTCGGCTGTCTTCTTTGGAAAGGTCGACGGTTCCATCACCCATACCATCGTCAAAGGACAGGCCTTGCCACTTGTGGATAGTGCTTTGAGCTCCAAATGTCTGAATGTCACTTGCGCATCGGAAAACATCTTGTAGGGCATCCGAAAGAAGGCCATAAGGCTCACTGCTCTTTGGTGAATTGAAATCACCACATAGAATTTGTGGACAGCCAGGTATTTGCTCATTAAACTTGATTATTGCATCCAAAATCAGAGCAGCCGATTTGGAGCGAGCTGCTACACCTTCGTGGTCAAAGTGAGTGTTCAAAATCCTCATCTTCATTGGAAGTGAACCCGCCGAGAGCTCATCGCGAATCTTAAACATGGCCACCTCACAAGTTCGAGGAAGTTTTGCATCCCATCCGGGATGGCCGTCAGGGCATGCTGGTGGCGAAAGCCAAAACACAGAATGATCAAGAAGTTCCACTTGTTGAATGTTGAAGAGAAATCCTGCACATTCATCGTCACCGTCGAGCTTGCGAGATATACCTTTCCAGCAGTATCTCCCATCCAATCGTTTGCAAAGGTGAGAAAGCATCGCAACAGTCGCTTCCTGCGTACACACGACAGCAGGATCGTACTTGCGGATCAGCGCTGCAACTTCATCACGCCTCTTTGCCCAGGAATTCTCAGCATCATCTTCTTTTACCAGCTCCGTGCGCAAGTTGAAGCTCCAAACATCAATCTCTGGACCCTGAAGTGAGTCTCTGGCGGCTGCGGCTGCTGCGCTAGAGACGCTGATCTCTCTTTGACTTTGATCTCTACGCTGCAACTTTGAGCAAAGTGCACAAAACAAGGTCCCACGACGAAGCTCACGCAAGACCTCAAGCTGCCGTTGTCCCCTGACAGACTTCGCAAGCAATGGATGTCCAGGCACCCTCATGTCGTAATTGCACTTGCACGGCCAGAGAGGTATAGCTGCATGTTGGCCCCTCCAAGCTGCCATCAGGAAGTGGGTTCAAAAGATGTTCTAAAGTCTCCAGGGAGCATTCATTCGTGCATGTCCATTTATCCACCTGTATACATGGATGTGTCAGCCTTGGACTCGATTATTGGTACAGTCATTGGCAAAATGAGATGGCATACGTTGTGGGAGTCCTTCCCACGTCTATGACATACTGTATATGATCAGTATGTCCAATGAGTTAGAAGAAAGTCCGAAAGTTGTGGAGTTGCAGCTGCCACTGTCACAATTGATTGTTCAATCCACTTTGGGCCTCAAACAAGTGAACTACATTTGCAGGGTTTTGTCTCATGATCGTTGTGAAAAGACTCCTGCATCATGCATCCTTCTTCTCAGGGTTTGAGAACTCTTTTGAGATGTCTCGCTCTCAGTGTCCTGAGGGTCAAAATGTGCGCAAATGTGGTAGAGGATGTCGGCCAGTGCCCAAACCTGAAACAGGTTCGAGCATCTCCTTTGGTAATGCCTCTGCCAAATTTGAGAGGCCTGATCTGCGTCTTCTTCGCGCAAAACAAGCTGCTCCCCCAAGAAATGAAAGAAGGAAAGCACACCTCGCGACTGGCGAGCACATCACGAAAACACTCCAGGGTACCATAAGTTCGCGTTCTGTGTGCCTTCGTCAAAGAAATGGCGGATGTATGTGAGCCTTGGAAGAGAAGCTCAGAAAGCTTGCGACCAATAGCAGTGTGAGCCCTTTTTAAGAACGCCGACACGAACATGGCAGAGCAAATTGTTGGTCATCTCACTTGCCCTTGCTTTTCACGCCCGGATTCGGCGCTGTCTTGGCATCAGACTGCAAGCGACTTCGCAAAGGTGTAAATCCAGCATCGCCTGGCCCTGGATCTGGCACCTTAGCTATGTCAAGTGTTCTCCGCTTTGCACATGTGCACGTGCGGGAAAGCAATTTCTGCTTGGACCCAAGATCTCGACGGAGACCAAGTTTCTAATGAGCACCAGGACATCCTGTCCGAGCATTGGACTAAAAACAAGAAAAGAGCTACACAAATGCATGTTTCTTGTCAGCATGGAGGGCATCGCTAGCAGGTTGCAGGCCATTGCTAGTAGGTTGGAGCATTGCTAGTAGGTTGGAGGCCATCGCTATTAGGATGGAGGCCATCGCTATTACTGTGATTCAAACAGTTTGTTCAGCTTGGAGATATCAAAGGATTTCACCTGACTGCGTTCTTTTCAGTGCCTTAAAGAACCTCTGGCCGCCCACCTGGCAGACTTCCCAAGAAAAAGAAGCTTACGTATTACGCAAGTAGGTTACCGGTTATATAAAGCTATGAATTCACTGATGTATCCGTTTCTTCTAGATTCTGCTTGATGGTTATTGGTCTCTTGCATCTTATTTTTAATACATACAAATATATATAATATATTATATATACACATAATATCACATAATGATAACTGACTGATAACATAAACTCTTTTCTGTGTGCAAGCCTCTTGGTCCAGGGCATCCAGAAGAAGCCGCACCAAGATGGTAAAGACTTCTGACTTGGAGAAGCCTTCCTTGTAATCCTTGCGCAAGGAGGACATGTAGTATCGAGCCCAACTTCTCAAACTCAGCAAATGTCCTGCAAATGCTGCAGGTGCTCCAGCTCTTCAGCTCCATAGAGACCTGGTGCTCAAACAAACGTAGTTGACCGTTTGGGAACCCTCTCAATCTGCCTACTCGAGTGGTCAAGAGCACCATCAGCTGCACAACATTGGTAACAAGCTCTGAATCCTTCAAATGGACAGCAGCACCCAAACAGGCAAATGTCATCACGGTTTCTCTGCTTCTACCTTGTGTTGCATGTCAGCACAAGCTAGAAGCGTCCTTGAAGTAGGCGATGAAAAGTGGAATGATTCGGGTTCGAAGCACCTGCCGAATGAAACAAGCTACATGCCAGGTCAATGTATTTGCCGATCACTCGACCCTGACACCCATTTCTTTCAGCACCTCCCCGGTCCCCTTCACCGGTTGACGTCAGAGTTGAATAGTTCGCCTGCCATTCACCCAATTTCCGCCGCAGCATGTATCCATTCTCAGGGCTGTCCTGAAGCGAGTGTGATTGAAATCTACTGGGCTTCCGGAGGATAAGCTCGAGACATGCTGCTTCAGAAGGACATCCACATCTCCAAGAGAAGTCATGCACCTGAGCGAGGTCAGGCGAATCTAGAACAGCCATGTGAGCGGGGAGCTTTAAGAGGCGGAACTCATCGCGCGAGCGGTAGTAGTACTGTTGCTTTCCGTCTACCTGGCAACTTCATGCAACTTCTACATGGGTGTGCGTTTTGATGTAGAGATATTGTTTCCAAGAAATGGGTTTGAGTTCAAACCGCTCTTCCTCAGAGTCTTTGGAGGGTCGCACAACTCTGGTACAGCCACAAGAAGACCCAAGAGTATGCATTTGGTCTGAAGGCAAAATGTTGAGCACTCCTTGTGGTAGTCGCCGAGCCCGGAACATGCGTTCCACAGGTCATGGATCACCTCGCTATCTGCAAACCCTGCAGTTTGTTCAATTTTTGCTTGGCAAAAAGTTATACCGTCACATCCCAACTGAGCTGCCCAAGCTGACTCCTCAACCATGCCTGGTGGCTTCAAGTGTCTTTCAAGTCAGAGACAGAGATTCAGAGGCTGTTTCTGGCGGAGGGCGCCTAGTAGGCGCTATCGCGCTACAACCCTGACCCAGTGAGACCCATCCATGAGCTTCCAATCTGCGGTGTTTTACAAGCATGGTCGATGAAGGTGTTAGTTTGACATGGTGTTTAAAATGATTGCAAGGCGATCTCTGCTGGTTCGACACTTTTTGAACTTCGCAAGCTCACGGCAGGGTCTGAAGCATTTCGCGGCTGGACAGCCAAACTCGGCAGCCGGTTAGGCTCCCCATATCCACGTGTTGTTCCCATGCTCGCAATCGCATCTAGATGCCCAACCTTGCACGCCAGCTAACAGAGAGATGTTGTTTCCCCATGGTTCCCCAACCTGGTAACCTTTGCAATCTGGATGCCCAACTTGAAAAAGAACATGAGAACAGTCAGGGTGTTGAGAGGCTTGACTGGCTAATGGCGCCAGTGCAGCCATGTGCAGCCGAGTCTCTGCACCTGCCCTGGCACATCGCCTGCACCGTTGCCACTATGTATGACTTTTTGGAACACACCATGACAGGCCTAATGTGCCCATCATGCAACAAGCCAACCAGGGTTGCCAAAGGTTGATGGGAAGGCCTCAGAACCCAGGTCAGTGATTGGTCAGTGATGGTCAGGCATCTCAAAGAATCCATTGGGGGCATAGCTGTTGAGAGCACTCCGTCTGAGACACAAGCACTGACCCTGCCTGGAAAGCATGAAATGAGTATTGGAAGATACCGCTACCGTGCTCCACACCTTCCAATCCTTGGCGCCAGCTTCCTCTGCATCCACCTGGAAGCGTCTCTCGAAAAGAAAACTTCTAGCTATTTCACTCTAAAAGGATTCGACCAGCCTCGCCACTTCGGAGGAGAGTTTGGAAGAGAGCCTCCGAGACATTCAGTTGTCGTCGTTGGCAAAGGGGTGCCAAGAATCTGGCGGCCTGTGAGGAATCTCTGCAAGATGGGACAAATAGTTCTACAATCAAAAATCAATCTGAGATCTAAGAGAACTGCTGTAGAAGTCTGTAGAATTTTGTCAATTCTGGATATCGATAGAATTTGGGAGAAGTGTCAAGATTGTCGGTTTCTGCTGCGACAGGGCTCAAAAGAATAAATGCCTCTGCAGTCGGTTGCCAAGCAAAGACATCAGCTGGATAATCAGCAACCTCCGGCAACATCCAGCCAATAGACATTACTGTTAAAGTGTCCTTGCATGTATATTATATACTGCTTCTTAGCAACAGCGAAGTCGCCTTGAAGAACAAAGGTCCTTGGACTACAAGTTCACAAAAACCATCAAAAACCCTATGCGTATTTATCATCATTGATGTTCTTCATTTCGTCAATTTGGTCTCTTCGTCTTTGAGAACCGAACGTCCTGCAGCCCAAAAACCTTTCCCCGACCTTAACGCAGCTGGATTGGACTGGTCCATCTGTATCCGAGTCTCTAAGATGCCGTCATGCTCTCAGACAGCAAAGCAATGGCCTGTAGAGAAAATCCAGACCGAACCCTCCAATCAACAAGGTTTTGCGCCACACAATGCATGCCTTCAATCCGGTGGATGCCATGCAAATGGCGCCATTGTTCCCCTCGCTTTCGTGACTTCATGAAACGAGAAACTCATAAGGAAAACAAGAATTTCGGGCCTCCACAAGTGATGTAATAGGAAGTGCATCTGACGAAATGCCAAAAAAAACCTGTCCAGCTCTTGAGCTTACCCTGTCACTTGACATCACTTCGTCACAGGGCGCACCGCGATGTCTTGCCAGCTATCGGAGACATCACACCTGATCTCATTCGTTATCACAAAAGTATAACCAGGAGCACTACGGACAACGCATCCAAAAAATGGTTCATCTTGGAATCAGGCAGAAGGGGTCTACGCTCTTCTTTCTCTCCAATGTTTTCATCCATCTCTTGCGACTTTGGATCCACAAGTTTAAGGTCTTCAGGCCTCCGGAAGGGCCAACGCAAAGTCGGCAAATCCAGCTCTTAGACTATGACTAGCGGCTTAGGATTAGACTTCTGGAACTATCTGAGGATCTGTCGAGACATGATATTGTGAGCCATCATCATAAAGCACCCGAAGGAGTCCTCGGAACTGCTTGGTTCCCGCTCCACGCACCGTACCTCCGTTCCAACCGGAAAACCGATGGTTCGGTCCGAACGGTTGACAGTCTCGGTTTGACGCACGCCTTGGCGATCCAGCGATGTCACCAAGACTCGATCTCCTCGGGAAAGAGTTGGCCTGGCCTTGGTGGTAGCACCACGGTTCGTGTCCTGCAAACTCAGAGCCGCTGAATTCCACGGAATTCCACCATACCACCACTGTTTTGTGCAAACAGGGGAGCAAGCACTACAAAACATCATTGACATGTCGTCCTCTTTTCACCCACTGGCAAAAAAAGAGGCGTTACATGCTACTGTTGTTTCAATCTGTTGCTTTCATTCATTGTTTCCATTGCTCTTTCTGCATCACTCATCCTCCTCATCCTGGCCACTGTTGGTCCTTGTTGTCTTCATGACTCTTTGTAATTGAATTCGTTCTTGCCATCATCATACCCATTCTGCTCCTTGCCCTCCCTTCCTCCTCCCCTTCCTCTCGTGTTGTTGCTGCTGTTGTTGGGAATTCTCCCCTGCAGGTCAGTCCCTCCTCTCCTCTACCCGACGAAGAAGCGCCAAGAAGAAGCAACCTCCATCATCATTCGAAGGGAGTAGCCTGCTCTCTGTAATTCAAACCAGACTTTGTTAATTGCAAAGGTGCAAATTTGCATGCTGCCTTGCACATCGGAGAAGCTGTGTTTGAAGACCTACAAGAGCACAGGTTGATGCTGTTTGAGTTCCCCATCTTCTGATACCTGTCCGCCAACACGTCAACAAGGTTACGCAACCCGCTCGTATGTCAAGATGCCCCAAGCCTTCTGCAATTTGAGGAGCGGCATAGGCAGCTGGGGGAAACATTGACCGGCGCAAGTGTGCAGCAGCAGTCTGGCCAACTACATTTGGACAATAAAGTGCAGGATGTGTGCTCAATGCCCATAGTGGCAAAGAAGGTGCTGTGCCTCTGGGACCTCCTGCCACGATCCATAGGTGAGCCATTCACCATGCCTTGCATAATGACCCACAATCTCACATTCTGATGAGCTTAGGGCCTACTACTTTCTTACTTGCTTGCTTACTTGCTTGCTTGCTTTCCTTTCATTTTCCTTTTCCTCTTCCTCTTCCTTTTCCGTTTCCTTTCCTTTCCTATCCTGTCCTGTACTGCACTGTACTGTACTGCTGACTTAATCACTTGCTTGCTTGCTCGCTTGCTGGCTTGCTTGCTTGCGTGCGTGCGTGCTTGCCTGCCTGCCTGCCTGCTTGCTTGCTTGCTTGCCTGCCTCCTACTCCTACTCCAACTCCATCCTCCTCCTTCTCCTGCTCCTGCTTCTACTCCTGCTCCTGCTCCTCCTCCGCTGCTGCTGCTCCTGCTCCTGCTCCTCCTCCGCTGCTGCTCCTGCTGCTGCGGTGGTGCTGCTGCGGCTGGTGCTGCTGCTGCTTCGGCGGCGGCGGCGGCTGCGGTGGTGGCGGCTGCTGTGACTCGAGGAGCAAACCATTTCGGTGACTGCCATCTGCAGCTTCTTGCCTTCCAGCTGAAGGCACTCTCCATGTCGATAAGCCTGGCCTCAGAATTCTGTGCTGAAGCCGGACAGTTCTGTGATCAAGCTGGTTCCAAGGATGCTGCTCAAGCTCTAGTCCTGGCACCTGGCAGTGAAATGGTGGTGATTCTGAAAACGATGAGTTAAGTTGCTGCTTGAATCTGTGGTGTGGCCTGGGCATCTACCGTTTCAAAGTCTGGTCTCTGGAAGAGCGCCGCAGAGACCACCGCCTTCCACCAACATTCGAGGACATTGTGAAAAGGCTGGGAACTACTCTCGACTTCGTTGGGCCTCACACTCCACGGGGTTTAAGGCACAAGTGGAGTATGCCAGAAGCCCTCAAGGGTAAAACAATTGGCGAACCTTTGCAAAGCAAGGCTTGTTGCCATGTTGCACCTCCAGGGGCGAGCAGCTGCATGCCCTGCAGCAGAATCTCGAGCTGAATCCCATGATGTCCAAGGCCTTACAATCTTACAAGATCGCCTCACTGGCGGTCAAAAAAGCGTGGAGACCAGGCCTGATCGTGGGGTCCAGTGTTCAAGAAGTGACCGCGCCTTCCGCATGGTCCCATCTCCAGAGCAAGGAACCTTTTTCGACAGCTGGCAAGGCTGGCACTGCACTTTTCACTACGCTTTCAGTTTTGCAAGCAAGGAGCATCGCAAAGCACTCGGTCGAAACGGACTGTGCATCCATCAGCATGCCGCCGGATTGTTGGATAGCGCCTCTGCCAAATGCTTGAAGGAAAAGCATATTTAAAAAAGAAGGGCCCCTTTTCTAGGGCCCCTTCAAAAGGGTGCCTTTATTAAAGGAAGCCTTATTCAAGGATCCCTTACCTTGTTCAACGTTGGAGACATGGGGCGAATGTCAGCGCCTTGCATCAGCCCGAGTCACCAAGAGAGGTGTCGTCGCAACGCGTCGGACACGATCCACCAATCTCCTGAAGGTGGGGCCAAACACGTCAGTAACAAGGTTCGCTACTAGGAACAAAGGGCATCGCTACTAGGAGCAAGGACGCTACTAGGGGCTCCTGGCCTTACTAGTAGTAACAAAAAGCTACTAGATCTACTAGGGGGAGGCCGTCGCTACTAGTAGCTAGAAGCTATTAGTAAACAAGGGCACTGCTACGTCCGCACCTCCCTGGAGTCCAGTCTACAGATGTACTAGTACAGTGAAGCTCTGGCAAACAAATGATTGTTGGAGAAGAATCTTGGCGGGGCAAACCCAATTCGTCCCCATGATCAAGAGCCAAAATATTAGTTCCAATGAGCAGCAAGAGTTGACTCATCCCCTTCTCAACTTCTCCATGACTGGGCATGCGTTCCTCTCAATTCTCCAACATGGGCCCTCTCGGCTGTGTCAACGCTAGTCAGCTGGTCACAAACGACGAAAACGCCTCAAGCGCGAAGCTTTGGAGTCATTGGCCACCAATAGGCCAGTGACCTGCCAGACAGAGAGGGGGGGGGAAAAGAGTGGACAAAAGCAAAGGAGACTCTGCCACATCGGTAAAGGGGCATAAATTATGTTTACAAAAGAAATCGCCCTTGATTGTGATGATTGCTGTTCGTGCAAGCTTGATAGCATCGCCTGTCTCTGCAAGCCGGTTGTGACAGATTGTGCCTGAGTCATAGCCCAGTGTGGCTCAATGTTTGGTTCAGTGCCAGTTTTGCAAAGCCTGCCTGCATGACGTCGAGGATTTGAAGTGTCTTTGATCCTGGAGCAGCGCAAAGCCTCAGATCACTTTTCAGGCCTGTGCTCAGGTGCTCTACACGATTGACCCGCATCTAATTCCAAAGTACTGCGAGCTGAGTCGCTCAATCACAGTATGCTCAGGACGGATGTCTAATGCCAGAACTGGAAGCATTGACGCCGACTCCTGCAAAGAATTGCAAAGCAAAAGCACTGAACAAATGATTTCTTGGTACAATTGTCTAAAGGGTGTCCAGTGTCACAGGGTTGAACCCGGTAGGGGCATTGGGGCACACCTTTTATAATGACATCAGTTGAGACAATGAGCTGGCGAGGTCAAACATCCAAGCGCAAGGCGTGTGCCTAAACTATGTACAACGCGACAGGTCGTTGCTGCTGGACTTCAACCTCGTAGCAGGTTCAGACATAACGAAAGGATGCTCAAACATTGATGTGCTTTGTAGGTGAAAGTCTTGTCACTGGCAAATCTTCTTGGCCACTGGTACACATTATATATTTAATACTCCTTATTGCCACCTTACAAATCAAGCGCCACCGGTGTTGGAACAAATGCTATATACCGGACCTTGCGTTTTATGTTTTCTACTTTTTGCTTTTTGGCCCTTCTACTGACTGTTTACCCGGGTGACGTTCGTGGAATCACCAACGTCAACATTTGATCTTTGTTTCAGGCTCCGTTACGTTTCTTGAACTTCATCTTCACCATCGTTTCAAGCACTCTGTCTTCATCTTCGTTTCATGACAATGTGCACTTTGCAGGGGAAGATGCAGGATCCTGATTTGAATGTCATGTTCATGTTTGTTTCATGAACTTCATCTTCGTCTTGCTTCATGAACTTCATTTTCATGTCATCTTCGTTTCATGAACCATAAAGGTGGTTCCGAAGAAATGCTGAAAGCAGTGGGAAACTTGTGCATACTTGTGCGTCAAAATGTCCGCTTGGAAAACATTGTGCTGCGATTGCTGTGGGACAAGACAAGTTTTGCTGTTGCCGTCCTTGAAAACTGGTATGCCGTTATGGTGAAAACGTGACACAAGATCATTATTAATGTACGTTCCCCCACAAAACGTGCATTTTCATGAATCAAGGTCCAAATGCAAATGTGCAAAACACAGGGGCCAGAACACCCTTGACACCATGTTTTATCACCCTGGTGAAGCTACATCTTCAATCCATCAATTCAACGTAATTTACACATGTTTTAACACCCTGCAACTAACCAGACGTTGACTGCGTCATCTCCTGGCGGATAATCTTGCCAGCACGCTGCCCATCAGATATGACCTGGCAAACTGAACCAGAACAAGCCTTGACGTGTCGCTGGTGCCCTGTGAGCCAAGCCTTGGCCAATTCCGGTGTGTAGAAGCCTTTGGCATCGACCGCCAAATCTGCATTGAGGCGGTAAGCTTTTGGGCACCAGGGAACTGACCTGAAGTGGCATTGGCATGCAGGAATGCAGAAGCGTCAGCAGCTGAAACTAACAGATAGTGGGCTTGAGGCTTCAGGATGGTTCACATGATCACCAGAAAATGTCTGAGTCCAGTGAGAAAAGGCTGTGTTTGATTGCAACAACACCTGGAAAACGTAAGTAACAGCTTCCTTCCAATTGCTTTTGGGTCATTGTCACACCCTGCACAAACTGACAAAGCTAGTGGAGCGCGCAATGGCTCAAACTATCTTTTGAAATAAGGACGCTGAATGGTATGAAGTGGGATTACCCTTGCTGAAAGCACTGTTGTCAGACTGGATTGGCTTGGTGCGCCGCACAATTCCTGCTTGGTCGATAGACAGTTCGCAAAATGCTTGTGTCAAACGACATCCACGTGCTCATTTGTCACTTTCCGCACAGCAATGGCATTATGTGACAATATGAAACGCCGCATAAAAAGCAAGTTGATGTGATAATATGAAACGCCGCATAAAAAGCAAGTTGATGTGAGATGTAACTATTGGCGTAGCCGCTGTGGGTCGTTTGGTGTGCTTTGGTGTCTTTTCACTCCGGGTGGTGCACTTGAGCATCCTGAGCCCACACAGTGCATCCAAGCAGCTTGGGTTCCCATGGCTGCAGCAGCGCCAGCACATCATCTCTGACCTCACAAGCTACGACTGTCGTATACTTAGCAAGGACGCTATTAGGTGGAGACCATCGCAAGTAGGTTGGAGACCATCGCAAGTAGGTTGGAGGCCATCGCTACTATATAGTAACAAAATGTAACAAGAAGCTTCTGATGGATTTTTGCCTAAAGCGTGTTGACGACTGACCGATGGTAGCCTCCGGAAGTCGAAGGCAAGGCGGTAAAGGTGAACACATGCGTTTCCAGCAGAAGTCCCAGGCATCCTCTCGACAATCAAACGATATCAAACACGTCTCAAGAGGTTTTAATATGCTGTCCAGCTGAGATTAAAATACCTTAGCCTCATAATCCGTATGGGATACAGGTTGTTCATGCTCGTTCAACCTTCCTAGGTGGGTTTGGAGTTGTCAAGAAACATTACATTCTTAAAGACAAAGCACGTCTTGAGCACAAATGCAGAACCAAAGTGAGAGATCAAAAGGATGAGATGTATGGAGCGTTGGTGGTAGTTGCCGCCAGCAACTTCGTTTGGGTCTGGTGGTAAAGTGGTAAGTGTAGTGGTATGCGTCATACTCGTCATACTCCCTGTGAAGTGGTACGTTCTCTTTTTTGCAATTGAGGTGGTGCATTGCCCGTGATGATGCAATGGTGTGAAGTGATTGGATTTTCTCTGCTGAAGTGGTACAAATCTTCTGCTGGACAGGATATAGCCCTCCACGATACTGGGGAATATTTCTACCGAAAGGGGAAAGGTCAAGCTTTGCTGGAGCAACGGCGACTCCAGCTGTCTCACACTAGCTTTTGTGAAGGCAACTTCTACAGCACGACGACAACAACAACCGCTACTGCTACTAGTATATAGTAGTGTAGTAGTAGTGATAGTAGTAGTAGTAGTAGTAGTAGTAGTAGCAGTAGCAGTAGTAGTAGTAGTAGTAATAGCAGCAGCAGCCAAAGCAGCAGCAGCAGCAGCAGTAGTAGTAGTCGTCGTCATAGTCTTAGTCGTAGTGGTAGTGGTAGTACACGAGGGAAAAGAACAAGAGTAAAAGCGCTTCCTCAAGGCCTTCCATTCTGACACCAAAAAAATCCAAAAAGCCTCTCATAGCTCCTGCTTGCAAATCTTCTGCTCAAGGTAGAAGGCCTTCGGTTCAAAACTTGTCTGCGTCTGACATATCCGCAGGTAGGTGGACGCCTGGAAGAGCTCTGAACCAAACGACTGATCCTGCTTCTCCGCCCTTTGCAACACATCAGCTTCAAATCCAGGTCTGTCACAACTCACAACTTCCGAGACTCTGGCTGCGTAGTTTCACTGTCCTGCGAAGGTACAAAGAAGCTCCAAGAAGTTACTAGGGGCTCCTGGCATCGCTACTAGGAACAAGAAACTACTAGTAACAAGTGCATCGCTTCTCGTAACAAGTGCCTTACTAGTAGTAACAAGAACGCTACTAGGGGCTCCTGGCCTTACTACTAGCAAGAACGCTACGAACGGGGCTCCTTGCCGGTTTAGCTCTACGAAGCTCCAAGAAGGCGAACTACAGAAACACGGTCGCTCCATCGGTCGCTTCGTACCGATTTGTCGGTGATGACACACCCGTGTGGACCTCGCCTGTGAAACCGACCGTGACACCGGGCTTTCCAGACTGGTCTGCATTGTCTTCAGAGACGCAAAAGCCTGCCACGGCAACCCTCCAAGCGGCAGAGCTTGCCATGGCTGCTTGACTGAATTCGCAAGCTTTTGAGCCGGCAAAGAATAGAACTGAAAATGAAAGAACAAAGAGCTGCTCTGTTTCAAAAAGCACTGGTTTGTGTTTTGGTTCCTCTACTGAATGCCATGCAAAGTCAAAGTGCGTCTTGAAGCATACGCTCCTTTCCTTTTGACTGCCGAGAACGCCTTCGCTCTTGGCCTTTGTTCCAAAGTAAGTCAGTGTGGACGTAGACAGTAGAAGTGAAGACCGTGACTCCTTGTCATCCTTGGAACTTCCCCTCTCTGAAGCAGCAATGGAATCTTGCAGTGCCTCTCTGAGGGTGTTGACTTCCTCCTGCAAGTCAGCCTCCCGGGACAGTTCTACTTTCCAGTTTCCTATTTTGCAAGCAACTCAATCTGGCTGCAACCGAGTCACGTTGCGAATCTTTTCTCTTTGAAGCTCGGCTTGAAGTGCTTGGAATTCGTCACGTCGAACGGTCTCACAAATTTCGACACTACCAGGGCAAGTGAAGTCTTCAGCTTCAGCTGCACGTTCACCATCTTTACCTTCCTTAAGAAGGCTGATCTCGGAACGCAACTGCTTCACCATTTCCTGTAGCTGTCGCAACTCACGCTGGTGTTCAGGCTCATTGTTGACAACTTGCCTTGGGATACTGCCGCACTTTGCGGCAAAGTTGAGAGTGTTGGCTGTTTCATCAAAGTGACGCTTGGCAGGCGAGATAGCCGCCAGCAAAATGGTAAAGCCCGTGCCGCACAAAGCCTCCATCAGAACCTTGAGCTTTTGTCAGCTTGAGAAGCAACAAGGATGTCTAGACTAAGAACTACCAGGTAATATAGTGTAAAGCATTGTAAAAAAATATAATACAATGCAATAAAATATAATACTATATCATATCATGGCATGCTCAGATTCAGACTGAGCGAAGGGTTGTCATGGGGTTGGGGGGGGGGGGGGGAGGGGGGGGGCCTTTGAGCTTATCATGTAAGGTCTGGATAGGTGATTTCTGGTTAAAGGCTTATTAACATCTCAATAGAGGTCTATCAAGGGCCTATTAAGGTCTATTAGGAGCTTATTTGATAAGCACTTAATAACCATCCTTATTGAGTTTATTGTTGAGGGCATGTGGTCCTCCAGAAAAAACCACAGTTTTTGGACGCTTGAGACCTTGAACCGTTTCAAAAGAATGGTAGACACCCTGGATAGTATCCCTGGATGAGTTGATTACTTTGCACTCAATAAATTAGGTGTGTTTCATGTGAAAATTCATCCACACTGGTCCAACAAAATGGACTGGCCTGTCGCCACCAATGCCATTTTCCCTCAACCCTTCATGCCCAGACCATTGGTGATGCCGCTCGGATAAGAAATGTATGAACAGCCACCTCCACTACAGCCCAGCTAGCTGCAAGCCCAAACCCTTACAAGCGCTCTCTCGACTTGGAATGTGTGGGGGGCAAAGGGTGGTGATGCAAGTGATGCAAATTAAGGCCTTATTAAGACATCATTAAGGCCTTATTGGATAAGCATTGGATAAGCCTTGGATAAGGCCTTAATAAGCTCTGAATAAGGCCTTAATAAGGGATGGGAATGCAAAAACATGGTTTTTAACTGGTTTTGGACATCTCCAATGCCAAAACACTGCCATTTGCAGGGTTTTGGACATCTCCAGTGCCAAAACATTGCTATTGACAGGGTTTTGGGCATATCCAGAGCCAAACCATCGCTATTTACAGGGCTTTGGACATCTCCAGGGCCAAA